TTCTTTGTGGTCCTCTTTTTGGTGATCAAATCCTTCAAATATTTGGCAAACCCCGACATTTCTTGAAAAGCCTCCAAGAATGGAATGTTCACCGACAATTGCTTTAGAATATCATAGAATTTCTCAAGCTTGCTATCATCAACCCTTCTAATAAGTCTTTGAGGAAAAGGCGGAGGAGGTCTAGGAATAGGAGGTGGAGCTTTTGATGTCTCCTTCTCCTTTTCCTTCACCCCTTCTTAGTTCACTTCTTGCACCTTTTCTTTTTCCGGCACCCTTTCAACTTCAACAACCCCTTGCTCTTCTGCTTCAACTTCTTGTTCGGCTTCTTCCCCAACAACCTTTTGCTCAATGTCACCTTGTAAAACCTTCCCACTTCTAGTAGTTATTGCTATGACATGAGAAGTTGAGCCACTTTCACCACTCTTCGGGTTCGCAATGGTATCACTAGGAAGTTGCCCTTTTTGCTTTGGGTTTTGCTCTCTTGAAAGGTCTCTCATCTGTATCTTTAACTTTTGGATAGATCCGGTGTGAGAGCCAACAACTTCTGTCATGTTTCTCATGGACGCGTCAAACTTTTCTTGGTTTTGCAATACTCTTTCAAGCATGCTTTCTAACTTTGACTCACTTGACGATCCTTGATTTGCATAATGACCTTTTGGGGGCACATACGGGTTGGATCTCCGTTTTGCAAAGTTGTTGTTGTTCCAATTTCCTTGATGCGAGTTACCTTGATCATTTCTCCATTGTTGGTTGCCTTGCCTTTGCGGGTTTGGCCTCTATTGGCTTTGTTTCCCTTGACCATGGTAATGGTCAACCATGGTAGGGCCTTTGATACCCTCTTTGAGGGTTGTTGATATAATTTTTTTCCTCAAAATTTTCATCTAAGATGGGTTGGACATCTTCCACTACATTCACTTTCTTTGTCTGATTCTTGGTAAACATCTTTGTCAGCACATTTACATTTGTTGCAAGCCTGGCAATCACTTGATCCCTCTCTTGATTTTCCTTGATTAAGTTGCTCAAGGAAGGAGAGCCATATGAGATTCCTCCGGTAGTATCCTCTGAATGCCATGCTTGGTTGTGCTTAGCCATTTTGTCCAGGATTTGTGTCACTCTTGCAAATGATTTGTCCATGAAAGATCCGTCAGCTGCATTCTTGGCGATGGCTTGGTTCATGGGATCCAAACCCATATCAAATTTTTCCAACAACATGGAATCCGGAAAACCATGGTTTGGAGACCTCACCAAGTATAATTTGAAGCGATCCCATGACTCATGCAACTGCTCTCCCTATATCTGCTTGAAGAAGAAAATCTTATCCCGCAACTCAGACTTTTTGCTCTGCGGGAACCACTTGGACAACAACGCCCGGACAAGTTCGGGCCAAGAATGAATAGAGTTGGGTGGCAGATTCTGGAGACATTTCCTCGCATCCCCAGCTAGAGAATACTTGAACCATCTCAACCTCAGGGTATCGTTAGAGACATTGTTTTGTTTGTGCATTGCACACACACCCAAGAAATTCCTAAGGTGTTGTGTTGGATCATCATCTATGGAGTTTCTGAAAAATCCTTCTGCCTTGAGCATCAGAATTAAACCGTGTTCCACTTTAAATGTTGCAGCTCCAACAGCTGGCAGTACAATGACATTAGTATCCTCAATGTACTCCTCGATGTCTGCGAAAGTATTCTCTCCCATTTCTATCTCCGCATCATCACCATATTCAGACATGTTTTCCTATCAACACCAAGCAAAGCAAGCAATGTGTTTNGTGTGATGGAATAGAAATAGACGTTAAGTAAAGTACACACTAAATAGTAATTTCAAAACTGTATTCCCCGGCAATGGCACCAAAATTTGATACGCTCAAATTACACTTTAATAAATAGTGTAAGGCGGTCGGTGTCAAATATAATAACCCAACAAGGTTGGGGTCGAATCCCACAGGTAATAGGTGTGAAAAGGTTACTCTTATAATGTGTTGCTCGACTAAAGTCGTATCTCTATTCAGTTAACAGTAACAAGAGAATGGTTTTATAGTAACAAGAGTATGAATTGAGTTTGTTTGGAAGTATCAACTAATTGGAATATTTATAAAGCAATTAATTGGATTAAAGAAACCAAGGTTGTGTGCTCTTTAATGGAGTGTAATGCTTATCGGTGTTAATATGATATATTTCTAATGGAAGGTTCTTTTGATATGCAAATGATGTTTAAGTGACTACCCAATATTTTCCAATAGTTGAGTAGTATTTCCTCTTTATAATTTTCCCAAATATAAAAGAGTTGCAATTTAGAACCATCAGTATATGCCAAGTAAAATCCACTTATTCCTAAGTGATTCTATTAAATAAGGTTTAAAGCCTTGAGTCATTGATATTTACTTCTATCAAATTCTAACCCATTTTCCCAAGCAAAGCAAGAATTTAATGGCACTTGTTAATGTTTGCAACCACCAACAATAAATGAAGAATGAGAAGTAAATAAATATCAACCAACCATTATATATATATAT